CAAATTTATTAAAAATAATAATAATTTATTTGTTTATTGATTGATTCTTATTGGAGAAACTTCAGTTCATCAGATTTATATAAGCACACACACAAGCTTTTCAGATTAATTTTTACACCACAGTTATTGATTTCTTAAATCCTTACTCAGCTAACCTGTACTTTTTTGTTTTATTTTTTATTAATACTTAATCTCCTTCTCTTAGAAAACTCCCCCCCCCTTTTCTTAATCTTAACATAGCACATTCATTATCAGCGCCAGCATGCTCCAAGAACCTTACTTAGTAAGAAGATGTATTAATCCCCGTAAAAAATTTACAGAGAGCTGACAACTAGTAGTATGTTACAAGGCAGGGGTTTCATTGAATCTTGTGGTCGCTATGTATCGGTTTTAATGGCCGGGATGGACTCTCGCCACCCCACGCGAAATGCATGATCTTTATTGGCTTGCTACGTCCTTCCCAGGCGAGCCGGCCGTCTTTAGATGTAAATTTCTTACTAAAGGTCTCCGAATGCGACCTGTAAAAACACTTCCACAGCTACAACAATTGTCTTACCGACCCGAAGAGGTTATACCTCTTCTACATCCTTTTAGCATATTTACAATACCTTTAGTCAATGCCTACAGAAAAGCTTACGATACGATCTTATTGACAAACATTTTGTGACAATTGTTGAGTTAAAGCGGGGGTTATTGCTTAGCGATCCGCATTTATGGATTTGAACCCATACCCCTCTGGTATCAGGACGAGATATAACCAACTGCACCAACAATGCTATCTATATAAAAAGTTTTTTCAAATGCAACAATGCTTTTAAATACATTCAATAAACATGTTTTTTTTGCATAAACCGCGCAGAATTTTATCTTAAATGAATTTGATCCGGTCGATTATTTTCCTGGAATATATAAACACACAAAAAGGTGTAAAAGATAATTTATCTAGAAGAATCGATGTTTTGGGTATTGTTTTGAGTAATAGAATCTAAAAAAATATAATTTATGATTAACTACTTAATGTCTAAGGCCAAGGTGTCTTTCAATGTTTATATATCCTGCCCCATATCCGAGAGAATTATTGCTCCTACCCCACACGTTCGCCCCATATTTAGAACCAAGATGTTTGCGCTCCGATTTGGAACGATTTCTACGCAACATCTTGCCGGTGATATGGGTGTATCCAAGATTTCAAACACCTAAATATCTTCAGAAGGTGCTTCTCGCCGATTCTGTTTAACTTTGTGGACAAACTGGCTTTCATCTGTCGAACATATTATACCGGAACCACTCAGCTTTACATGGCCATAATCATAAAAGCTTTTTAAGTGTATCTTTATTTATTAGACATTTTTGTTGGCGTGTCTCTCTCGCACCATAATCTGACATTATATCTTAAAATTTTCTCCCTATCAACCACAGAATAACTACTGTAAAAATTTCGGTCAAAGAAATCCGAAAACCTTCAAAAACAAACTAGTTCGTATGCTCATATAAGACTGATCATAACTACAGTTAAAATTGTTACAAGCCCAACAAAGTTTATCCACGGGTTTGTTTTTTCTTCTTTCTGCCATATTAACACCGTAAAAACTACATTCAAAACCCGCAACAAGCAAACTCTTTATCTTAAAACATATATCACTTCTTCGGCGGACATATATCTAATTTGTATTAAGCATTCAGAATTTGTTCTTTGATCTCTCATTTTTGGGGGTTAAAAAAAATTTAAAGTATACTGGTCGGTTATTTGTCCGGTCTGGATAAATAATCAAATAGATCCAATGTTTTGTCAAAAAATAAAAGCTAAAGTCTTATATTCATCTATGTGGCACATTTATCACCCAGATGATTTTATAAATAGTAAAAAGTACAATAAAAAGTAAGAAGTTTTGTTTAATGTTATAATAAAGTTATTGGTTAATTCCAAAATACAAAAATATAAATAGTTTTTTATAGGATTTATAAAATTAACAAGGGGCATCTAAATAGAAATCACAATTATAAATAGGACGCCTACAAGCAATAATAAATCGCTTTTTAAAAACAGTTCTTTTAATATGTTGGGTATGAATGAAGGGCACGACATTAAATGTGATTTGAACTTCTGTCTCTAATCAAAGCGCCTTTCTTCAATTACTCAAATCCAAACAAATCCGATAATTTAGTCAAAATTGTTCTTAGGTCCATTAAATTGTTTTTTTAAAAAAGTGCAGCCCAATTGCACTTTCATCCTCCCCACTTGTCCCGAAGAGAGGATGATGATGCACAATTGAGCTGCCTGTATCTCCAAATTTAATTTCGTTTGGCGCCCACCCCAGAAATTGAACCACGTAATGGTTTTTATGTATTCTTATTACCAGTTTGACCACTGTTACCAGTTAAAATCCTTTAATTTAATATATCTTCGACAAACAATAGTTTAAAAGCTTTTTAAATGCTTTAAATAACGATTATGATGTCTACCGTTAGATAGCAAAAAGAATGCTTTTATAGCCTCCTATGACAAAAGATAAAATAAAAAGAACAGAATTTAATGAAAGAAACTTTGGCGGAGGCTGCTCAAATATAGCGGATGGGAGATTGAGACTTCTACACAAGTATGGAACGAATAACATTAAAAAAAGTTTTTTTGAATGTTATTGTAAAACTAGGAGATATATCGCGGGTTGTGAAAAATACGATAATATTGTAAATATTATATGGAACCGTGGTATTACAACCATATTCTTTAAGTAATTTTAAGCTGAAGTGCTATCCATGGTACAGAAAGTAGATATGGGTTTTTTAAAAAAATTTAGCCCCCGTTTTTGAAAAATAAAAAGAAATTGATAGAAAACTCGAAAAATTAATGTTAGTAAAAACTTTTTTGTAAAAACAACACTAATAATTAAAAAGAAATGTTTAGTAATTTTTAAGTAATACTTCCTGTTTTGTTTCTCGGACACATATGCCCAAATAAATATAAATCACACAAATAACGCGTTCTTACTCTTAATGGGATTAATGCCTTAACAGATATTTAATTTCCTTCGATGGTATTGGTATGAACACAGATGTTTGGATCCCGAAAATACAACGAATGAAATGATTGACAACGCGATAACTTGTAAAATAGCTACCAATATTTAAATGTCCGCGCCAGCAATCAGTATAAACAACGCGATTAATATGTACAATCGAAAGAATTTATGGTATTGGAGTTCCGCATTTCTTTGTTCTACTCTTATTATAACCATTTTTCTTTCTGGAGATCATTCAATTATTTTATGATCCCAAATCCCGCAATAATGTGCCTTCTATTGTGTTTTTTTTGCCAATTTTTGTTCATTTAATCCAATTTTTGAAATTATCTCCTCCCATTGGTTTAATTTTTTTAAGTAAATGTATTATACAGTGCGTGTCAAAATCTTAAGACACCTAAAAAAAAAATTTTCCTGCAAAATTAAGCAAGATACAATTCTAAAATCTTATTCGTGTTTAAACATTGTAATTAAAATAATTTTAAAAATACTTTTTATTAAATCTTATTTTATATATGTCTAATCTGGTTTTTGGATTTTTTTTATCTTAAGAGGCGCGTCAAAATCTTAAGACACACCTCCAAAAACACGTTTTATAGAATTGTAAATACAACATTCGTTTTATTTTGTTACAATAAACTACTGCATGATTTTATTTTTCTAATCTAAGCTGCTGCAAAACGCTTATAAAAAACAATTAGTCTTACAATTAAACGGGACGTCTCATTAAACTAAACTCAAATTTTGAAATACAAACACATGCTTAAAATAATGATATCTGTTATTTATTGTTTTTTGATTAAGAAAAGTGAATTTAAATTTCTTTAACTTTTCTCAGGGACATGATGGTTTTGATGTTTTTTTAAAAAAAATTATTTATCCCCTAATGAGCAAAGGAAAATTAATAGTTGAGTATGAAAAAGGACAGATTGATGCTTATTTTCAAATAGGAAAAAATATTAAGCAAATAAGTGCTATATTGGACAGAAGCAGGACCGCAATTAGAAATTACCTGACTTTAAAGAATGTAAATAAAATTACTAGCAAAAAAGGAAGAAAAAGAGCTC